TTTGACCTGAGCGACTAGAAAGAGTGGCCCTTTACTGAAATGGAGAAGTAAGAGTAGTGGACTTTAACTGGGCATCTAATGGAAGATGTTAATTTGATAGTTAGTTATATGTGTGGGTCTAGAGTTGAAGGAAGAGGTCCCAGAAGGAGATATAAGCTTGAGTATCGTTAGGATTTTTAATTTGACCCTTCAGTGAGCCCAGTCCCTTCTGTGCCACCAGTGCCCTGCACGTTGCTTGGCACACAGTCTGTGCTCAGTGAGTATTTGCTGAATGAGTGAATGGAGCCATTCAATCACTGGAGGTGACTGCGGATCTTTGTTTCCGTGGGTCTTGAAGTGTAACTCCCTGAAGTTATTCTTTTTCTTTTTAAGGTCTCATGAGAGCCTTATTGTGGATCCCATGGACTAAAAACAGACTTTAAATGTGAAGGCTGCGATTGCTTATGTCTTATAGAAAACAATGTGTGATGACAAGTAAGAAGGAGAAACAAGTGGAAACCAAAAAATAGCTCATACTTTCAAAAAAGGAGACAAAATCCTGCGCGAGAGGAGGTTGAAATTCAGAGGTGTGATGTTCTTGGGTTATTATTGTACTCCTCTTAATTTAAGATTAAGCAGAAGCAGGAAAGAATCTTGAAAAAGGAAGATGTTTATTTAAATCGATTTTGTGCCAAGTGAAAGAGTGTCACCAGCTTGCTTGAAAAATCCCACATCTACAGCATCTTGTGTAATCTGTTCCTGTTTATAAAAGGAGAGAAATCAGCAACAGTCTTATGGGAAAAGGAGAGGAACAGTTAAGGGGTTTAATTGGCGTGACTTTAATTGGAATGACTTCAATCTCAGACTCCAGGTGCTGACCATTTCCTCCCCATGGTGTGACTGAATATGTGTGAGTGTGAGTTTTATTTGTAGTGATATTAGAGGGGGTGGGAGTGAGGAAAAAAGGTAGGTGCTGCAATGGCAAATGGTTTCCTGTTTGTGTGGGTGTGTGTGAGAGAGAGAGAGAGAAAGAGAAAGAGACAGAGACAGAGAAGGAAAGGGACAACAGTGGGAAAAAAAGAACTAAAGCTGAGAAGGAAATACGAGAAAGGGATATCAAGTTGGCCTCCGTTTGTATGTGTGGATACCAAGCTTGACCATGATGGAGATTGGATGCAGCGGTGGGATTTGGGATCAAACAAAACTTGGTTTGAACTCAATCTTCCTTACTTTCTAGCTGTGTAAACCTTAGCAAGTTATTTAATTTCTCTGAGCCCTGGTTCCTTCAGTTATAAAATGATGAGGTGATGATGGTGGCAGTGATGGTGATGATGATGGTGGTGGTGGTGAAAGTGATGATGGTAGTATAATAACACCCAAGTGGTCTGCAGTTTCCTTCATGCTCCTGTTCTTGGAAATATGTTGGTCTAAATACTAATTAAAGAATTACTGAGCACACACTTAGTCATCAGTTGTATCCGACTCTTTGTGGCCTCATGGACTGTAGCCTACCAGGTTTCTCTGTCCATGGGATTTTTCAGGCAAGAATACTGGAATGGGTTGTCATTTCCTCCTCCACAGGATCTTCCTGACCCAGGCATCAAACCCATGTCTTCTGTGGCTCCTGCTTTGCAGGTGGATTCCTTACCTGCTGATCCATCAAGGCTTCCCAAAGGATCACTATATCAAATGAAAGAATTGGAAATTCTAAGTGTAGAGAGAGTTTAGAATCTGTCATTTAATGTTGCCAGTGCTGATGAGATTATTTGCATGAGGCCCATGGTGTTCAAAATGAGACAGGTGGATAATAATCAGACTTATGAGCTGGAGATTTCTGAGGTGCCTCAAAGGGAAACCAACCTTCCATTCTCTGCAATAGGCCAACCCCCCAGCTCAGCTCTGCATTGTCTTATACTTTGTTAGAATTCCTTGATCAAAGTTTTTGAGTCATTTGGATTATGTAGGTGCAGAAACTCTCCATCAGATGCCTCTGGGTTTTGCTCCCATAAAATCTGCCCCATGATGTTTTCCACTGGAAAATCTGCTGTTTTCCCTGTTCCAGGTACATAGTAGGCACACAATACGAGTCTATTTGATTCATGAATGAGTAAATGCTCTTGTGGTTGCTCGGTTGGTGAGGCTCCTTGGGTTTTTTTTTTTTTTTCCATTTATTTTTATTAGTTGGAGGCTAATTACTTTACAATATTGTAGTGGTTTTTGGCTCCTTGGTTTTTCCTCTTTGACTTGGACAAGACGTGACGTGTGAGAGACAGTGCTGAGTCTGCAGCATCTAGTAAGTATTCTGGAGAAGGCAATGGCAACCCACTCCAGTACTCTCGCCTGGAAAATCCCATGGACGGAGGAACCTGGTAGACTGCAGTCCATGGGGTTGCGACAAATCGGATGCGACTGAGCAACTTCACTTTCACTTTTCACTTTCATGCATTGGAGAAGGAAATGGCAACCCACTCCAGTGTTCTTGCCTGGAGAATCCCAGGGGTGGGGGAGCCTGGTGGGCTGCAGTCTATGGGGTCGCACAGAGTCAGACACGACTGAAGCGACGCAGCAGCAGCAGTAAGTATTCAGCAGCTAAGAGCTTCCCAGGTGGCACTAGTGGTAAGGAGTCCGCCTGCCATTGTAGGAAACATGAAAGATGTGGGTTCGATCCCTGTGTTGGGGTTGGGAGGATCCCCTGGAGGAAGGCATGATAACCCACTCCAGTATTCTTGCCTGGAGGATCCCATGGACGGAGGAGCCTGGCAGGCTACAGTCCATGGAGTCGAAAAGAGTCGGACACAACTGAGTGAGTAACATACAACACACAGCAGCGAATGGTTTCTCTCTGTCCCACCTCCCTGCCTTTGCTGCCATTCTGGCCTCCTCTGGATCAAGGAGTATGGACTCAGTTTCCTCTTGGGGCTCTCAGAGGCATCAGGAGCGAAGACCAAAGCTCCCTTGCTCTCCTGACCATGGATTACAGTTCACCCATTGTGTCTCCTGCCCCAGTGAAAACCTGCACCATGGATTCCCTTCTTCAGCAACCCATACTGAAGCCTGTGGTCCTATCAAGTTTCTCTGTTTCTATGGAAGCTCTTGCTCCACCCACTTCCTGTTTCCTTCAGTCTTTAGAGCTTGCTTCTGTCCGGGGCAGCAGTGGGGAGAGTAGCATTAACTTTTTTCTTTTCCCCAAAAGGCAACTGAAAATTCTCCCCTAACCAGAAACTGTGTGTGTGTGTCCATGTGTTATCGCTCAGTCGTGTCCCACTGTTTGCGACCCCATGCAATGTAGCCTGCTAGGCTCCTCAATCCATGGAATTCTCCAGGCAAGAATGCTTGAGTGGGTTGCCATTCCCTTCTCCAGGGGATCTTCCCGACACAGGGATCAAACCCTGGTCTCCCATATTGCAGACAGATTCTTTACGGTCTGAGCTACCAGGGAAGACCAGTGACTCTGTAACCCCTCAGAAATAGAATTAAATTGAACTCTTTTAGGAGCTAGAACTTATAGGCCATGTCTTCTTTTCCATTCCCACTTTGTAGATGGGAAACCTGAGGTCCAGAGTGAGGAAATCATAGATGATGCAGGTACTCTTGGACAAGCAGTGGAACAACCTCGTTTCTTTCTCTTCCCATTCTACATAGATGCAGGAGAAGGTAATTTGGCCAGCCTTCTGGGCCTTCTTGCATCACAGAGGTCGAGGTCTAGCAGTTGGCTGTTCAAGCTGGGAGCTGGGGACCATTAACTGCTTCATACATTAAACCCAGATGATGCATGTGTTGGCAGGAACTCTGGTGCCTAAAAGCCACATGAGCATGGGGGAGATGTGTGTTTTCAAGTCTACTTTCATGGCTCCCCATTACTGAAACCTGCCGATGAACACATGTCTGTCCATCAATACCTCCAAATGTACACATTTGTTTTAATAAGTGTTTCATAGGCAGGTTCCTTTGGCTTCCCTTGAGGCTTGGACAGTGAAGAATCTACCTGCAATGCAGGAGTCACAGGTTTGATCCCTGGGTCTGGAAGATTTCCTGGTAAAGGGAATGGCAACCCACTCCGTTATTCTTGCCTGGAGAAGTCCCTGGACAGAGGAGCCTGCGGAGATAGTCCCATCCAGTCACGAAGAGTCAGACACAACTGAGTGACTTTCACTTTCGATTTTCATAGGCAGTTTCCTTTTTGGGCCCAGAACAAGTTCAGGACAATGGAAGAACTTACCTGGACTAGAGGATCTTAGTGTTTCAGAGCTGAAGGGACTGTAGGAATCTAAACTCCGTACTAGGCAAATACGGGAGCTGAGTGTAGAGAAGGAAATTACTTGTTTAAGGTCCTACAGTCAGTGAACACTAGAGAGAGAACCAGAGCCCAAGTCAGGCCTGCAGAAATTAAGTTCATCTGATGGTAGGGAGCAAGAGAGATCACGATCACAGCAGCGTTATTTACAAGGTATGGAAGCAACCTAAGGGTCCATCAGCGATGAATGGATCAAGAAGCTGTGTACATACATACAGTGGAATACTACTCAGCCACAGAAACAAATGAAATTTTGCCATTTGCAACAACGTGGGTGGACTTGGAGGGTATTATGCTTGGAGAAATAAGTCAGCCAGAGAAAGGCCAATACTGTATGGTATCATTTATATGTGGAATCTAAGAAAGAAAAGCAGCTAGTGAATATAGCAGAAAAAAAACAGACTCACAGATAGAACAAATGAGTGGTCACCAGTGGGGAAAAGGAAGTGGGAAGTGGGAAGGGGTAAGGGATTAAGAGGTACAAACTTCTGGGCATAAAATAAACAAGCTACAAGGGTATGTATTGTGCAGCACAGGGAATATGGCCAATACTTTATAATAACTGTCAATGGAGTATAAGCTTTAAAAATTGTGAATCACTGTGCTGTGTTCCTGAAATTTATCTAATCTTGTACACTGCCTGTACCTCAATTAGAAAAATTAAGAAAAAAAGAGAGCACAGGAAATGAGGCCTGGGTGCCCTTCATGCTGAGAAACCCTCTGCAACATGACGGCTGGTTCCCCCAGGCAGCTGAGAGCCTGGGTGGCTCCCCTGCAGCTTCCTCGAGAGATCCTCTGGGGGTTTCCCCTGCCGGTGACCCAAGCGCAGGCCCAGAGAGCGGAGCTCCTGGTCTGCCCGTGGCCCCTGCTCTCCTGCCAGGCGCAGGGTCTGACCGTGGCCTCCCGCCTGATCGGTGGCGCAGCAGATGGTGCCGATTGGAGCCCAGCTGGCACGTGGGCGGCTCTGAGGGAGCAGAAACGGCTTGGCGGGGAGGGGCCTGCTCCAGAGTCCGGGGCGCCCCCCAGGACAGGGCTAAAGAGGTCACGGCCACATCAGGAGCTGCTGACCTTGGCCCTGGAGGGCTGAAGGGACTCAGTTCCACTCCTGCACACCCCCCCCACCAGGATGAGTGACGAAGGCAGCTCACCTACGGTTGCTTAAGTGTCTGTGGGTTACAGGCGGCTGCTTTGAGTATTTTTCAGCAAAGCATAAAAATTAAGCTTGAAGGAAAGGGATGATCCGGGAAAGCAGAGTAAAACGTGGTAGCTTCAAAATTAAAGTGATAGTACAGGGAACTCTTGCTTAATGTTATGTGGCAGCCTGGATGGGAGGGGAGCTTGGGGGAGAATGAATACATGTATACCTGTGGCTGGGACCCTTTGCTGTCCACCTGAATCTATTAGAACATTGTCAGTTGGTTATGCTCCAATATAAAACGAAAAGTTCAAAAATGAAAGTAGCTGTGGAGTGATGATGAGGTTGATTAGAAAGGGTCAGAGCAGAGACTTCCCTGGTGGTCCAGTGGCTAGGACTCCAAGCTTCCAGTGCTGGGAGCCTGGGTTTGATTCTTGGTCAGAGAACTTAGATCCCACAAGCTGCAACTGAAAAAGTCCTGTATGTGGCAACTAAGGCCTGGTACAGTCAAATAAATAAAAAATAGATATTAAAGAAAGACAAAAAAAAGAGAAAGGGTCAGAGCAGCATGGAAACAGGACGGGATGCGGAGCTGAGCTCTCCTCTCACTCCCCATGATGCGTGACTTGGTCTTCACTTGCGGGTCCCGGCCCACCTCTGGCAGAGAAGCTGTGCCATGCTCCCCACCTTACATCACGGGGTTGGGGCCTCCTGTCTCCACAGTGACGCAGTGTGGGGGACCAGGTGGAGCTCTCACAGGCCAGGTTATTCCCATCAGGCTTCTCAGGTTATCCCTGTCACTGCCGGCTTGATGTCCTGGGACTCTCAGCCCATTTTCTCCAGGCGTGTAAGGTCTCTCCTGGCTGGCTTGACCTTCCAATTACTCCTGGATTCTTGAGCTTCTTAGAGAGGGTAGAGAAAACAAAGAGTCCTGGAGTCAGTCTCTCCTGGGTTCCCGGCCTGGCCTTGCTTCTTACTCAGTTGAGATCTTGGGTGAGTCACTTAGCAATGCTGGGCCTCGGTCTTCCAATCAGTAAAACGGGAATGGTGATGGTCTTACCTACTCCGTAGAGTCACTGATGGCAGATACGATGAGATGCTGCATCCTCAGTCCAAGGACTAGCTGAGGCCATTTACAGCAGCAGCTGCTGCAGATTCAGCCTGTCACCCCCAGATTCCCTGCGCACACCCCCAGATTCCCTGCGCACACCCCCAGATTCCCTGCGCCTGCTTAGGGGTCTCATCTGCTCCCTCTGGTCTCACGCTGGGGAGCCGAGGAAATGCTTAGGACATGCTCAATTGGGAAACAGAGAGGAAAGTCATGCTGCGGTATAAGAATCACCTTCAGCATTTGCTCAGCACCTCATGTTGAAAAGCAGTGTCCTCACAATAACCCTCAAATAGGCAGCTTATAAGTCTGTTTTATTCTCTTACAGATAACGAAACAGAGACACCAGAGTTTAATCTTACAGCAAAGTTAGCTTTGTACTGAGGACCCACATAGACGCATTAGATGTGGTTCCTCTAGGAGCCTGTAGTTTGATCATGTGACAATAATGATGATTATGATGTACATATGTATATATGATGTATATATAATGATGATATGATGTATATATGATGTATACATGTATATATGATGTATGATGATATATGGTGTATATATATATATATATATATATATATATATGATTTCATTTCATTTCATTCTTCCAATCCCTGTGAAGCGGGAGTTTATTGTCTCCGTTTTGTCGTGGAGTAAACTGAGGTTCAGAGAAGTTAAATAAGTTTCCCAAAGGTTATTGTTGTTCAGTCTCTCAGTAGTGTCTGACTCTTTGTGACCCCATGGACTGGAGCACGCCAGGCTTCCAGGTCCTTCACCATCTCCTGGAGTTTGCTCAAACTCACGTCCACTCAGTCGGTGATGCCATCCAACCATCTCATCCTCTGTCATCCCCTTCTCCTCCTGTCTTCAATCTTTCCCAGCATCGGGGTCTTTTCCAATAAGTTGGCTCGTCACATCAGGTGGCCAAAGTATTGGAAGTTCAGTTTCAGCATCAGTCCTTCCAGTGAAAATTCAAGGTTGATTTCCATTAGGATTGATGGGTTTGATCTCCTTGCTGTCCAAGGGACTCTAAAGAGTCTTCTCCAACACTGCTGTTCAAAAGCATCAATTCTTAGGTGCTCAGCTTTCTTTATAGTCCAATTATCACATCCATACATGATTATTGGAAAAACCGTAGCTTTGACTATACAGACCTTTGTCGGTAAAGTAATGTTAGCATTGATTGAAGGGGAGAATGGATTCAAATGCGAGGCTGCTTCACCTCGAACCTGTTCTTTGCTGTGTGCTGTGTTCCCTCCCCACCAAGTCCGTGAAGGCTGGTTAGGGGCAGCAGTGAGCCTCAGTCCATGACCTTAACTCCAGCCTCTCTTGCTCCTGTTGCTACAACCCGCAAGCTCCTAGAGGGAGTTTGCAAATATCTGGCTACTTCCTAATGGGCTTCAACCAGGAACTGGATCCAACTGGATTCCCAGCCTCTGAAGCTATTTTCCTACAAGGTCTTATAAGGGCTGCAGTGCCTAGGCTCTGCTGCTGGGAAGCTCATTCATTAATTATGAGACTACAAGGTGAGACGATGATGTCACAGAGATATAAACTGGGTGAATGTTTGTGGGAGCATGGACTATAAGCAGTGATTATTGCTGCATAAGGAGAGAAGACTGAGGGCCAGAAAAACTACTGGAGATGGTGAAGGGACATTACTTAACTGGGCCTTGAAGGAGGAGTAGGAGTTTCCCAGGAGGGCGCTGGGGAGGAGAATGGTATTCCTGATAGAGGAGATAGTTTGAGAAGTAGCTAGATCTGAGAGTCTTCAGCTGATTTGGGAACAACACACAAACTGGTATGGTGAGGTGGTTTTGGCGGCAGTTGAGGACGGGTGAAGGGGATGGTGGAAGGTGGCGTGGACACACACTGGAACCTCTTGGGGTTTTTCTGTTTTAACTTTTGTTGGAGTATAATTGGTTTACAATGCTTTGTTAGTTCCTCTTGGGAGTTTAAATGTTATTAGAAGTGCAGAGGAGGAAAACCCCCTCAAAATCCACTAACATACTCAGAAGAGCTGATTGTTGTCTGGGCTCCTTGAAATGTTCCTTTGAATGCTGAGATAATTACTGTCCTTTGCTTCATCCACAAGGCCTGGCTGTGTGTGAACTGTGTGGATCATAAGTCTGATATACTCTCCATCACAGACATCCATCCAATTAGAGAAACTAACAGCTGTGGAAACTGTGATTGATGTCTTAGAGATCTTCTGAGTGGACAGAAAGATCCAAGATAGTGTGGAAAATATTTAAGAAATATAAAGAAGTCCTCGACCATAGTTGCCCAGAACGAATACAGCAGAAAGTTCTGTTTTCTGGATTTAGAGTAGAGGAGAGAGCTGCAAGGGGACCAAGAGGATCAGCAATCTCTTTATTAAACCTGCTTCCTGCTCTTCCTGGGCACACAGACTCCATCTCCCAGCCTCGTTTGCAAGCGAGTGTGGCCATGTGACCGATCTGATGATGTGATGAGAATGGGTGTGGTGGGTATCACTTCCAGGGCTGAACTGTGAACTTCCATATACCCTCAAGCTCTTTTCCCATCCACTGGCTGGCTCTGCTTGATGCTGTCTCGTGTGCAAGAAATAAGCTCTATGAAGAGTTGACTCATTGGAAAAGACCCTGATGCTGGGAGGGATTGGGGGCAGGAGGAGAAGGGGACGACAGAGGATGAGATGGCTGGATGGCATCACCGACTCGATGGACATAGGTTTGAGTACACTCCGGGAGTTGGTGATGGACAGGGAGGCTTGGCGTGCTGCGATTCATGGGGTTGCAAAGACTTGGACACTGAGCGACTGAACTGAACTGATGCATTGACATGTTGGAGTTTGTTATAGCAGTTAGCCTACTTTCACCAATACAAAGCCTGAAATTTTAATTAGTAATTCCTCATAAGCTTATGGGAACACATCACAGAGGATCAAGAAGCACGTTTCTTGATAACATAAAGATGACAAAGCTACCTCTGGGCTGACTGCTGGGTTGCCTGTTTCATGTGAGCTTCTTTTGTTTTAATTTTAAAACTTATTGTATTCCTATTTATTGCCATCTATTTTAATATTTAAACTTATTTTTAATAGTTAAAAGTTATACTGCACAGTATTTAAAAAGTCCAATAATTCTAGATAGGTAGAAATACCATATGATCCAGCAATCCTATTCTTGGGCATATATTCAACAAAACTGCAATTCAAAAAATAATACATTTACCTCTATGTTCATAGCAACACTATTCACAATAACCAAGACATGGAAACAACTGGACAGGGACAACTTAAATGTCCCTGGACAGATGAATGAATAAAGAAGTGGTATATATCTTATATATATGTGTGTGTGTGTGTTTGTGTGTACACAATAGAATAGTACTCACCCACTAAAAAAATGAAATAATGCCATTTGCAGCAACATGGATGTAACTAGAGATTATCATACTAAGTTGTTGTTGTGGTTCAGTCGCTAAGTTATATTTGACTCTCTGCTATCCCATGGACTGTAGCAATGCCAGGCTTCCCTGTCCTTCACTATCACCTGGAGTTTGCTCAAACTCATGTCCATTGAGTCAATGATGCCATCCAACCATCTTATCCTCTGTCGTCCCCTTCTCTTTTTGCCTTCAATTTTCCCCAGCATTAGGGTCTTTTCCAATGAGTCAGCTCTTCACATCAGGTGGCCAAAGTATTGGAGCTTCAGCTTTAGCATCAGTCCTTCCAATGAATATTCGGGGTTGATTTCCTTTAGGATTGACTGGTTTAATCTCCTTGCTGTCCAAGAGACTCTCAAGAGTTTTCGCCAGCACCCAATTTGAAAGCATCAGTTCTTTGGCACTCAGCCTTCTTTAT